GTCCTTATAGAGAGACATGCCTTGGTCAAGCAGTGCTTATGATGCCTTCTAGGTCCCTGAGATACATAACATTACAGTATTATGATCAAACGTAGCACTCAGAAGAAGTTAGCACAGTAGATGTAACCAGAGCCATCAATAACACATTGGATAACTCAGTTAATAGGATTTTTGTAGTATTTTCAAGACAAAAACAGACTAAATGGCTTTAAAAGATATGTACTGAACAACTATAAATAAAATTTAAGATTCTATTTGTATTTTCAGCAAGCATATTCCAGTTCCCCTAGCACATTCATGTTTCACACCCTCTAGTAAATGTATTTTTACAGAATTTTTACCTTAAATTTACAGCTTACTTTCGATTACCTATTTATGACCTGTAAAATGTTTATTTATATTCAGATCAATCCAGAGTTTGTACACTTATATTGTGCACTTACACAACGTCTCAGGTGGTTATAGACAGTGATTCACCTTTTCTTACACAGCATGTAACATATTAATAAACCCTAGAAGTCCATTGGAGTGCCAGATGTTAGACAATACCCTATCTAAAACACTTAATGTGCAGTATGAACTTATGGAAAAAAAAGGAGTTTATATTTAAGCATTACTATTTTTAAAAAAACATATCTGCACACCATAACAAATAAATGCACAGGTAACTAACTGTACAACTCCAGATCCATATTTAAATCTAAAACTGGACTGATGAGATGCCCAGATTACCCAATGTGCACTTGCACAGTGCCCCCAGTTCAAAAAGGGGGCCCAAGTACTGAACAGTAGAGAAAAAAATGACGTGTTTAAGCAGGTTTTCACTTGGCGCCCTGATGCTGCTGTAGCTCAACTGAAAGAAACATACTACTGTACTGGCAAAGACAGCACTAATTTATCTTAAAATGCAGTCAAATATACATAAGCGGTTATACTAATTATTCCACACCTCAATTTCCACTAGGAAAAGGAATGGCGTGATACTGTATAGGTCATTTAAATGACCCAAAACAATTTCCCTTCAGCAATTTCATTTAATAAGCTCCACACTTGGTTGATTTTAGTGGAGCTGCCCAGCACCTGGATATATTTTGTTAACGTACTGGAGAGATCAGTCTGACGAATTTAAAACTAAAGGAAAGACATAATTCTGTAACTGTAATTCAGACTTCTTACAGAGAAAAGAATGAAGCATCCAAAACAAACAGAATCTAGAACATAAATCTGCAAAGTCAGGAAACAATCAGCGCCATTTACGATTTACAATGATTTGTGTGATGTTTTAGATATACCCATGGTATATGGTATAGGAGAGCCACTTCCCAGTATATACAGTACATTTTTCATTTTCTGCAGACAGTTCAGGAATGTGTCCCCCATGAATAGAGAGGACTGGGCATACCATAATTTATCTTACCTTTAAAAGACATCAGTTTGAGCATTCAGCTTTTGAGTAAAATCTTAATTAAAAAAAAATTCTATGTATCATTTTGCAATACCCATAGGAAGGATATGAATACTTTTTCCAGGCACTATAGATGATTTTTCAGAGATTCTGATTCGGAAAATTCAAATACTGCAAGATATACGGCTTAGTGAATATATTTGATGCAAAACATGGACAGTAGACATGCATTTCTTAAACTGCATGTCTCTATACTGATCTAAAAGCACATCCCTACTACAGTGTTAGTACCTGGAAGTGCACATCGACGAGAGACTGGAATGGTTAAAGGACACCGAGGCCATCTACAAGAAGGGTCAGAGCCAACTTTACTTCTTGAGGAGGCTAAGGTACTTCAATGTGTGTAGAAAGATGCTCCATATGTTCTATCAGTCGGCTGTCGTGAGCGCCATTTTCTACGTGGTAGTGTTCTGGAGCTCTGGGATTAGAGCTGGGGATGCTAAAAGGCTGAACAAGCTCATCAGAAGAGCAAGTTAAGTCATTGGGTGTGACCTGGACCTGGACCTGAACTAACCTGGAGGTAGTGTTAAAATTAATGGCCATCATGGACCACGTCTCCCATCCCCTCTATGACATGCTTGTAAGAATGAAGAGCGTGTTCAGCAAAAGGCTGATCCAACCATGGTGTGACAGGGAGCGCAACAGAAGGTCATTTTTTGCCTTCTGCCATAAGACTGTAGAACTCATCCACTAATGGTCTGGGCAGGGGCAACATTGACATTGACCCATTTTTGGACTAAACATTAAACTCTCTGCTACATCTGTTTTTTCCTGTTTACAACTGTTTTTGTGCAATATGTGCTAGGGACTTTTGCAATATATTTTTATATTTATAATGTGCGATACAACTTTTTTGTGTACTGTTCTGTTTATTTTGTATATTCTATGGTGTGAGCACCTCTTTTTAGTGCACTTCTCACTGACTGTACTGTATGTATTGTATTGTTATATTATTATATCATTTCATTACAATGTGCTGTGTTGACTGTGCTAAGCTGCTGTTGCTCTGCAATTTCCCTCACAGGATCAATAAAGTATCTATCATCTATCTATTGGAGAAATACTCAGGAATTTGATGAACACTGAAGTTTTCAACATCAAAAGAACAACAACTGAATGGAACTGTTGTAGGAAGAGGGTCATGGATGCTATTACAGTCTCATTTCCATAATTACTTCAACCAAATCAAAAACATCACATTTTGATAACTGTCTGAGGAAATACTCTAAGGCATTAGCAAACTTTAGACTTTTCAACCTATCATCCATTCATTCATCAATAATTCTCAGATCTTCTCTATCTTCCAAAATCTGTGACATCCTCAGCTTTTCAATGTTACAATTCCCCCCTCACCTATCGCCGCCCATTCCAATCTTACCAGTTCCCCACATTCTCCTACTTTCACCATTGATTCTCTGTTCTTTGCCATCATTCTCATTCTATTAAAATCAAAGTCTCAAAGACCCTCATCCTTTTCTGCCCTTTCTTTTCTTTCTCCCTACATGGGCCACTCTAGAGCTTTTGCACTTTACAGCACAAAGCTACTATCTTCCTCCTCATCCAAAGATTTTGGTGTCACTCTTGTACTCCCAACACATTTCATTTCTGGCACAAACTTGTTGCTTATTCTTGTTGAACAAGGAGAATATGCTTTTTTATTCTACATACATTGAGTATATACAGTGCCTTGCGAAAGTATTCGGCCCCCTTGAACTTTTCAACCTTTTGCCACATTTCAGGCTTCAAACATAAAGATATAATTTTTTTATTTT